AGCCAACCAGTTTACAACTGGGAGTACTGATCCACCATGGGGACCGGAGACACACAGGTGACAAGGCTGCTAGAGTCCTACAGCCCGTGCTTACCTATAGGGACTTACAGGAACCTACTTCAGTCACGTATGAGTCCAGGGCTGCAGGAATAGGCATCTTCTGTCACAGTATGGTGAGAGGCTCTCATCTGTATTGCATAGTGTCTCAAGCTTAGCTCAGAGAAACCTACTCTCCCAAAACTTTCTTGCTGCTCCCAGAGAGTGGAGTTCCTAGTGGAGTCCTAGTGGAGTTTCTCACAACATTCCCTCTAAGAAGGAATGCATCTGGCACCGTGAAAATGTTTCCTGTGGAAATTGTTTGTTGATATCAATAGAATTCCCTGTCTTAAACAATTTTGGTTCAGAGAAAAGCTTTTAAACCTGAGTGTCCACTGCATACTTTCTTTTTACATGTGGAGCAAGTAAGATGTTACAATGTGTCCAAAGTCGTACAGGAGTACATGGAAAGTTGCAAAAGAGTAGGATGCAGTGGATTAATTCTTAAAGAAAATAGTACTATACAGAATTAAAATGTACTAGAATATAGTATATTTTAGTTTGCATAGTACTATTTTTAATTCAATATTCTAGTATATTTTAATTCTGTAAATTACTAACTACTCTGTTACTTTATAATATTAGAAAAGTACAGCAGTGTTCTTGTATTACTTGAAAATGCATTGTCCTGCAGTCCTGCCACAAAACATAAGAATTTTTTATTTGGTTTATGTGTCACTACAGAAGTCCTTTTTGCCAGTTAAAAGAAGTATTAACTTAATAATTTTGAGAATATAGAAATCATTATACTAAAATGAGGCAAAAGCTCATTAAATTATGGAAATGAGATTTATGGCAGGTTACTCGGTTATGCATATTGACTATGGAATTCAGAATTGCTCCTTGAAGGATCACTGTCCCTGCTGTAAGGAATCCTTTGGCACTTCCTGAGCTCATCCTCATTCAGTCCCACCCTTTTCCTGTGTCATCATCTTTTCTCTTTCGCAAAGAGACCAAAATACGTGAAACTGGCTGGATTGAATAGGCAGGAGTATGACCTGAAGCTCGTAAATATAAAGATATATCTGCACCTTTTTCCTCACTTTCCTAGGTGCATTCTGCAGTCCCTCTCAAGCTTCAGATTTCATCCTCAGCTGATAAGGCACAAGGTCTCTTCTTAGCCTTCTTCAGAAACACTGGCTGCGTTTACAGTGTCCTGCAAGATGACATTTTCAGACACTGCTTGAGCCACAGTTCTGAAAAACAGCCTCGTGCTGCCGATATGTACACCTCACTAGGCCATGGAGGAAAGCATGCGGCTGTCACCTCTCTGAAAATGCTGTGGCAGAACCAGGGCACCCTTCTGTTCTCATTTACAGGGCTGGCCATGCTGTCACATCACTTACTGGAGCCCTTCCAGGAGGAAGGACATGTTACACAAGAACTCCACAAGAAATTCTAGATTTAGAACAACTATGAGTGTGCAACCAAACCAAAGCTTCCCTCACCCCACAGCCATCAATGAAATGCTGTTCAAGCAGACCAGCAGACAGTATGAGACTCTACATGCATACATCGCACACATCCACACAGTCCTTTGGTTTTCAGAGGCTATTCCCCCCAAATACTGGCTAACTCACACTTTAATGGTGCCATCCAGCTGCTGGCATCACAACAGCTGTGTGAGCCAAAACCGCCCCATGGCTGACCTTCAGCCATCAAAGGTGCATCAATTTTGAACTAACGGTAGCAGGGCCAGCATGTCATCATAATAAAATACACAGGTTCATCCACAAAGAAAGCTTATCTTTACTTGGTTAGAAAACATTTCTTGGTTCTGCTTTCCAGACCAGGTTCTCCTTAGGCACTCAGACATATCATGTCTAGGAACATATCTACTGGTTGCTTGAACTGCAAACTGAAGAACAGAACTCCGTGTTTATTTCCTAGACAGATAATCCTACCTTACCTTCTTCCCACCCTCAAATCCTATTCTCCTCCTCATTAATATCAGGCAGCTGAGAAATCTTGTAGGATCAGATGTTAGTGACTCCCTTTCCGAATTCCCTTGGCCCTGGTTCCTTTAAACTCATGCTGTAGAGTGCTGTTATGCTGAAGAAAAAGGACTCTGTTGCCCATGTCTGTAGTGTTAGATAATGCCTTTAACGAAGGGGACAAGGTAAGTCCTGACGAGTATTCTTTGTCCTCAGAAGGGAGTGGGAACAGTGTTCTTGCTGCTTGGAGTCGGTGGTTCAGACAGGTGCATAATCTGATTGTAGTGAATACAGTGAACAGACGTAAAAAAAGTCCTTGGACAATCTCCAAAGCTAACTTCAGCATAGAGCCAAGAATTTGAGTGTTGGAAAGACCTGCCTGGCAAGACTGGAAGCAAGGGATGTATCTCCACTAGCCATATGTGATGTACTGGGGGGTGGGAGGGAGGGCTGCTGTGTTATGTTAAGGCAATTGCTGAATGTCTGGTCAGACACCCTCAGACGTTACTTGGATGCAGATGGCTACAGCTTTCTCTGGTGAGGCTCAGTGTCACTTAGCATCAAATATTGCCAAATACCCAGTAAAATATGGCATTGTTAGCCTGTTGACACTTAACTTCTTTGGGAAGCTCCAGTTAAAGATGATACTTTTGTTCTGGTTTAAGTTTTTTGTTTTTCACTCTACCGCTCTCTCGTGGAGACATGGGCAGCCGAGACCTGGCTCCCTTCTTGTTTCAGAAATTCCAACACAGTTTGGAGGTCTCAGGAGGAGATAGAGTCCCTCTGGCCAGCCTTGGGAGGCTTTTAGTTGATCGTAGGAAACAGTGGAGAGGGGTGACATTCCTGAGGCCCAGATGTGTTCCTTATGAAAGTGCCTTCAGTCTGTCAAGTGCCGTCAGATATTAGTAAAAGTCGTATCTTTACATATATTGGGCTATATGTCACAGGCTGTGAATTTTCTAGGTAGGTGAGGAACAGATCAGGTGCCATTTGAGCAGCATTGTAAAGCTGAAGAGATGGTATTCCAATTGGGATGCTTTCACCGCAGCAGTCATAAGGAGCAAGCTAATGTGAATGTGGATGTGTCCATAATAAACAATCATTGCAATTTGACAGCTCCACGGCTTGGGCTTAAAGGTTAGGCAGAGCTCTTTTAGCTATCCTTTTCTCTTTACACCCCTAATTATATCCCATGTGAAAAGAGAAGGAAACCAAAGTTTATTCATGTTAAAACCCTCAGCATTACCTTATGCATCTCAGCAAAGATGGAAGGAAATCCCCTACATGATGGAGAATTCTGTGAATGGTGATCGTAACTGTAACTTTATATATGGCAACTTTTAATTTGTGTTGTGCTGCCTTTCCCTTTTACCAGGAAGATTATTAAAAACCAGAAGAACCAAGCCTCTAGTCCTCTCCCTCTGCGCAGGCTTAACTCCTCAGAGCTTCCTCCTTAAATGTCGTTTGAGAACAAATCCTGGCTTGTCTACGTCCAGCCTTCTTTCTCAACACCTCCCTATTTCCACCCCTGGTTTTCAGAGATGCCAAAAACGTTGTGATTTTCCGGCTCAAAAGACATTGCATGCCAAGTCATTCTTTTTCTCAGCAATACTTACTTACCAGATGACTCAGTAACGTCCGAAATCTTCATGCTGCTCTTCCTTTCCTCTCATCTTAGCACTGTGTAGTGATGCATATGCTTCTGGCATCTGTAAAAACACTGTATCTGCCTAACACAGTTAGAGCCGCCTTTAAACTCAAAAGCAGAAAAATGTGTGCAGACATTCTTCTCTGGGCACAGAATTTCTCTATGACATAAAACACAGATAAGCCTCACTTACAGAAGGTAAAAAAAATCAAAGGAAAGTAGTGGTGCTAGCAAAGATAGAAGTGGAGAAACAGTTGCAATGTATTCGGCAGAAGCTGTTATTGAACATACAGAAAGATGGTTGCAGTTCTTTGTTCACAGAGCTCCCCAGCTTCTGACTTCACCTGACCCTGGAATCTGGGATGTGGCCTCTAGGAAGAAAAACAGAAAATGCTGCCCACAATACAGACAGATTTATAACAATTTTGTTTCTTCAACAGAGTGTTTGCTCAAGTCTTAGCATTGAACTGTTAAATCAGACAACCAAATCCTGGAGCAAAGCATCTCAGCCAGCTTGTCTTTATGTAAACAGCTGCACAGAAAAGCACCTTGATAAGTGAGTCCTAGTGGTGAATGTGCTCATGGGTGTTTAGCTAGGATTTGGGGGGGAGGATATTCTTCATACTGGCTGCTCTGTAAGTATTTCCCTAGTGAATGTGAGAGAATTTGTCTTCCTAGCTTCTAAGTAGAATTGTGTTACCCACTAGAGTGGTTAACCTGGATCTTCATATGGTAAGTGATCAGATTAGGAAGACAAAGCCAGTGTGAGAGAGTTCAAGGCACATATATATGTATATAAGACAAGCTAACATGCACACAAAGGGGAAAAAAAAGTGATTCAAGCCCTATTTCCTGTAGGTTATAAGGGCAGAAGAGACGTTTCATTCTGATGGTTAATTACTTCCATGTCAAACAGATACTATAATCATGAGGGCAGAAGTTAAATAGATTAGGGTAATTAAGCAAAACATACCTCAAAACATGCCTCTCAGAAAGAGAAAGAATGATGGATAAGTAAGGTAAGTCGGTCTTCAGTCCCTCAGACTTCACTCAGAGACAATTTATGTCCTGTGACCCTTTGCAAAGCTGAAGACATAAAGTGACTGAACCAAATTAGTAAGTAGTCCCAACAATTACCAAAAAGTACAGTAACTTCAACTACTGAGCGATTTAGAGTAAATCACTACGGATGTCAGTGAATTTTTGGTAACACCCGCCAGCATTTTAGCAAGGCTGTCCAGTCTGACGTCCCAATGCAATAGTTTTACTGTGAAGTCTTATTTTTGTTTTAATCATAATATTTCTATTACACTATTTTTCAGGCCCTGATTATATCAAACAAAAATTTCAAGAAGGAATGGAGGTGAAAGAAAAACCTGAAGAAAAAGTTCAGGAAAAACCACCTACCCCAAAAGAGTCACCTCACTTTTATCGAAAAGGTACTACACCCCCTCGAACCCCAGAAGCAAGTCCAAGGCATAGTCCTCCTCTTTCTTCTGAGCCTTCTCCTTCAAAACAACTGAAAAGGCAAAGCTCCACTTCTGGGGCAAGACTCAGTCAAGAAAAAAAGCTTTTAGCCACGGAGAATATAACACCCACAATTAACAAGCCTTTATATTCAAAAGCACCAATGAAGGAGGAAGTAGCTGTGAAACACCAGCCAAAGTTTTCAGCCCATCACAATCCCATCAGCACAGAGAATGGGGAGCTGCATGGTCACTACCATGGCTATTATGTAAAAATCAATCCAACAGTGCTTCCACAGGAGCTCAGGGAAGAAGATGAGTATGTCAACCCACCACCGTCAACACTTGCACAGATACCACCCTCACAGAAGCCAAGTCCTGCTAGATCTGGGGGTAAGCCAGATGCCAAAGAAAACAAACCTGACACAAAAATTAAGAAACCAGAATTTGCTGCACCAAAGAACCCAGCTAATAACGAGTCACATTCAGCAGTGGAAAAAGAAGTAGAAAACAGCTCGGTGAGTACTGCAAGAAACCTTTTCACTTTCACTGCCCTTTTGCCTCCTAGTGCTGAGCTTTGCAACCTAAAGACAGGCAAAGCTCACTTCTGTCAAATCTTCATCTGGATTCAGTCTGCTAGCTAGAACCCACTACACCAGACTGGAGTGAGGAACAAATATTCCAGTCCTTTATATTATTCTTTTTGAAAACTGGGAAGGGATAGGTGATAGCCAGATACTGACAGACTTTTGAAACATGGATTCCTATTGCATTCATAAACACAAAAGTGTGTTAGTGTGTGTATTAGTGTGTGTATGTGTATATATGTGTGTTGTGTGTGCATGTAGGTACATATTTGCAGATATACCTATATATATATTAGCCTCCCCCCCCCCCCCCAACCACTACGGGGTGCCGTACTTCAGTGGATAATTGGGCAGTACTGGGAGTTACACTCATGCTCTTCCCCAAAGGTCTACTGTTGACTACTGTTGGAGACAGGATGCTGGCCTGTGGTCTGACCGTTGTACTTCAGTGGATAATTGGGCAGTACTGGGAGTTACACTCATGCTCTTCCCCAAAGGTCTACTGTTGACTACTGTTGGAGACAGGATGCTGGCCTGTGGTCTGACCCAGTCCAGACAGTCTCCCATTTTCATTTTCTTCTCTGTGTTGACTATAGGCTCTAAAAACAGGCAATTTGCATCAAAATATGAACTGTTTTAAAAAGCATACTTCTAACAATGCTTGCATTTTACAGTGACATGAAAAATTTTACTTTCTTTTTCATCAGGAAATGAAGAAGGAGTTTTAAAACTATACACTCAGATCAGTGTGAATCTGAATCTCATTATTATTTAGAAATAATAGAACTATCAATAGTTATGCCGAAAAGGAGAGATGACTAATAGCATTGCTATTCCATGTTAGAAGAAAAAGCCAGGTTATCGAATTCAGACTCTCTGATGACAATAAAATTATTTCTGGGCCAAGAGAAACTCGGGAAAATGTTAGTTGTAGATCCTAAAGTTAATCTTTAGCCAATGAAGAGGTCTAGATAATTGTCATAATGTTTCTTTTTTATAAGCATTGTTTCTTTGAATCATTTTTGGTACTCCAGTAGAAAAAAAATGGTGTCATTGTTGATGGGATAAACAGAACAACCCATTTAATGAGATCCAGATAGCCTAGCACAGAGCTCAGGCAAAACAGTTGAATAATTGACACCAGACTTCATTAATAAAGAATTCAAAAATAAAGAGGTGTAAGAATTTCCAACTAACATGCATTGTAAAAGATCTTGTCAAACAAGGTTGACATCTTCAGGTGTGACAGAGGAATCATATCCTCAATCAAGAAGGTCACTTGATTGGCTTTTACACAGTTATTTATTCTGACAAGGAAGCCAGAATAATGCAAAAGCCAAATGTCACATTAAAATATTTTTTTAAAAACTGACTGATGGTTCTCAAAAAGTAATTAGCAAAACATCAGTACTTTAGTATTATTCTGGTGAGGTCATTCTTGGATTAATTCTGCTGCTGTATTTTATTAACATTCTTATTAATGACATGGAAGAGGACATAAAAGTATTACCCATGAAGTTTACAGAAGACACAGAGACCAGGAAACTGATAAATAATGAAGACAACGGATCACAAATACAAGCTGATCCAAATCACCTGCTAAGAAAGATGCAAGTATAATTATCCATGTGCAGGACAGCAAAATGTAAGATTGTATATTGAAAGACAGTTAGTAGAGCCTGGCCATGCAGGATCGGAACTGGAAAAGGTTGGTGGATCAGGAGCAAGAGAGGCAACTGAACATGAGCTCCCAGTCTGCTGCTGTTGTTCAGAGATGTTAATATAATCCTTAGATTTATCAACAGGAAAGATTAAGCAAGTGAGTACATGGGAGTCTGTTTTATCTGGTTTTGGCACTGGTGCAACCACTTCTGGAATAAATACAGTGTCCATAAATCAGGGATTTAAAATGAAAAAAAACCTTAAGGGAAAGTCCCACGAAGAGCTGCAAGAATGATTAAAACATATCTTAGAATGAAAGATTCAAGGCAAAAAAATCTGACACATTAAATCACTTTCTGTAAGTACACTTTATAAAATAGTTTCCCAAGCTAACAGGCAAATGTGTAAGAAGGTCCAACAGCTGGACAGATTTAGATAAAAGTTTGTTTTAAGTTGCTTTTAATGATATTAATTAAATGTAACATCAGTTTTCAGATGCCGAGTTTTTGGAGCCATCACTGAATAGTTCAATAATGAGCATTTTGCCAAGATGATATCCTCTAGTTCAGCAGGAAGCTTATATTCTGTTTTATGCGGATCAAAGTAGATGTTCACAGTGGTTTTGTAATCTGCAAATCTGTATTACAGCTGATATGAGCCCTCTAACCTTTCAAATGTCACAGATATGACTCCTATGTAGGGTAACACAAAGCTGTCAGGCTTGTAAATGTTGAGTGAGCATGCACAGAATTTTATCCTGAATTGGAATTTTTTGTTCAGCTCTGGTGAAAATAAGTGTCTAGAAATAGTCCTTATTTTTCCTACATTCCATCCAAACCATGTAACGGTTTGGAGCTGGGGGAGTCTTCACCTTAAGAAACCAAGTAGGGCACCTAAACAGCAGTTTATTGACCTTCTAGAATAATCAGGATAAGGACCATGAACCTATAGCCTGTTATCAGGAAAGGTGGAAAAGTGATGAGATATTGTACATTAGCTGCTGTTTGTTTACTGATATTACAAGTCATCTGGGAACAGTCCATCTGCTTCATTTCGAGCCCCCTAATTGCATTATTCTTATTACCAGCGCTTCAATAAGGAAGGAAGGTAGAGTTTAGGAACTCACTTTTAATATAACGGCATTTTAAGATATATGTAGATGTATACATACACCAGATGTATCTGGTTTTTTTCCAAGATGTCTTCCATATGTATCTATAAATTTGTCCTTATAGAATAAATTTCCTACATGCTTATTTCTTTACAATGCTGAAATGAGTAAAAATCCTAAAACAATTAAAGCAGAAAGGAGTAGTAGCCTACTGGCCTAGCAGACTGAGGGAGAGAATTAGTACAGAATGGCTGTTAACATTGCCTGGAGACTTTTCTTTTTAATTTTTAGTATCACCTTTCAACTTCAGAAGAACAGTAGCCTGTTCTGCAGTGCTCCTGGACTGCGCTTGATAGTGTGCTGGAGTTACGCAGTGGCTAACCTAAGAGTGCACAGTTACTGAGGAGAAGCCAGATTAGTGTACTTCTCTTTATCCCAAACACTTCTGAATGTTGAGAGACTTCAGAATTCTAGGGCTGCATTGCGGAATTATTTTGTTATAGTCAGTAATAGTAATTGCTTTATAGTCATCCTGACAAATGATTTTGTTGCGGTTTGAAAGTAAATCTGCCTTAGATCCTTCATAAAAGTTTAAAAATATATTTGTTAGGGAATATAAAGAGAAAAGAATTCTCACTCTCACGAAAAGAGAAACATGGTTTTGGAATGCAGAAATGAATCTGTAACATTTATTGAGCACTTTCATGAGATGATCCGAAAGCGCTGTATAAAACTGTGCTCTGCTTTTTCCAAGTTTCCAGTGATAATGCATTAAGAACATAGATACAGAATGTAAGACTTTCAGTTCTTCCTTCCATGTATCTAAATCAAAGCCATTTCTCACATCTGAATGAAACATAGACTTCAATTTGGATTAAGAACTTTAAACAACTTTATTTACAGAAGAGTGTGCAGCAGCTGTTTTAGTAATCAAATTCACGTTTCATATTTTCTGTGAACCTGTTACATCCTTAAGAATGTCATTGAATATCATCTGCACAATAAGTTAGTTATAGGAACAGTATTGATTCTCTAGATACCCCCATTTGTGGCATTATATAAGCATGTACTTCTTATGCCACAAAATAAATGTGTTTCTCTATGTGCTTATTTTCTAATGTTCAAAAATCAAAGTTTAAAATCATTTCAGAGCTCATAAGAAAGAGTCATAGTTTTATCAAGGTGAAAACATGCATAAAGCACAATGACAAAGTCACCGTTCATCAGCTGCTCCAAAATAGCTCTCTGTTTGCAGACGTTTACCCTAACAAATGAGAGGTAAATCACCCTTTTTTCACTGAGAATTAGGCACCTTCAAATTACCTTATATTTACCACAGTGTGAAGTGTACGCAGAGACACTTGACCACAAACCAGTACTAACTGTTGTTTCTAATTGCTCGTTAGCAGCCTCTAGCCCCAGCATCAGCGTGCATGCTGCTATCCCACCTTGAATATGAGCTAATTTGAGATTGTCTTGGATTTGGGTTGGAAGTAGGATTGAATTGCAAAAAATACCATCGTAGTGTACGTTCATGAATACACATTTTATTTGCCTGATAATGTGTCCATGTGTTGCCCTAGGTCAGGTACAAGCCCAGGCACAAGTGTTCTACTACATTGTCATTTTTTTGTTTTGTAGGTAAAGATTTTTAAGGCACACAGAATGTTTAGCCTGGTTTTTACCTGTATCTAAAATCATTATGTTTTGCTGAATGTTACTCAGTGTGCTTCTACTCTCGTCTCTTTGTTCACTTAACATCCAGTTAGTAAGGGATATAACTACCATGATGTTAGAAAAATAGATCAGTATTTGCCTGATCTCAAAAAAAACCTCTGAGCAAGAACTTTATGCTAAATGTAATGGACATTCCTAACGCAATGGGATTACAAGACTAGTCTTAATACTTCCTGGCACTACATTTTAGGAAAATAACTTTCTTCCCTCCCCAAATGAAAGCTAATCGTATGGTTATATTTTTAACTACCTAAGTGTCTGACTTACTAGAAGCTGAAAGGGCAGTTTTTAAGCAGGACTGGAGTTTTTCTACTACAGCTTCTATATTGCACCTGTTCTAGTCACTCTTGGACTGTTCAGACTAATTTTGGCTTTTGCTATTTTAAGCCCTCGCAGGACACTAAAGTCTTATTTATGGTATTTGTCTTAAAGCATTAAATGCTCCTTTCATAGGTGTCTACAAAACAGGTAGTAGTTTATTGCATAATAACCATGTGCTCCACAAATACTGTTTGATCTTTTTTTAGTATATCAGGAAATTCTGCTTTGGGCTAAAAGTTCTCGTTATCAGAAGAGGAAACAAAATGCACATAGCAGGCCAAAGGAGATGAGGTGTACTTCTTAGGATAAAGCTTAGACTCATTATCATAAACAGATAACACATTTTTCTTTGATCTTCATATAAAAGAGACAGCCCAGTTCTTAAGGTGTCACTTTGTTCTGTCTTTGTAGATGAGATTTCTTGATTCAGACCATAGCCGCTAGGCTTTTCAGCCTAATTTATCTAATGTTATGGTGGTGAGATTGTTATACCTAACCTGACTGACAGATGCATCAATAGAGAAGTCCCCTCCCCCTCCACCAAGCTTAATTCTGTAAGACTGTGCCCTAATGATACCGACTTGCTGTTTGAGCTGCAGTCCCAACTTGCCATTCAGCCAAAAGCTGTCTTGCAGCTATCAGGATGCTGTTTCAGGATATCTTTCAGGTAATGAATGAATTCCTGGCTCCTGTGAAGTTCCCATAGGTCCAAATTTTTCGTCAGTAGTAGTAAATCAACTTGATTTCTATGGATGTTATTTTCAAATATGCAAAGCATTAGACGGCCAAATCCCGGTGAATTTTAATGGTATTAGGCAATGATCTCCTTCACAGTTCCTTGCAATTCCTGGTGCAGTTTAACTGTAAAATCTTTAGGTGGGATCCCAAACTATAAAGGAGCTATTGACCTGATTTTGATCACACAGGGAGTCCCTATTAGAATCATAGAATGGTTTGGGTTGGAAGGGACATTTAAAGATCATCTACTCCATCCCCCCTGCCACATCTTTCACTAGAACAGGTTGCTCAAAGCCCCGTCCAACCTGACCTTGAACACTTCCAATGATGGGGCATCCACAACTTCTCTGGGCAACCTGTTGCAGTGTCTCAGCACCAGAGAGAAAGATGCTGAATCCAAATCTTAGCGGAAATTAATAGTGTAATCACACTTCCTATAGAGAGAGACGTAACATTAGCATGTATCTACTATTCTTGTTTGTCATGAGATTCTGGAATTTTTTTTGCAAAAGAAGAAGTCATTAAATGGAAAGTTCACTCTAAGGGCATTGACACTGACATTCCAAAACGGCAAAAGTGAGAGATTCTCAAAGTAGCTGTTGTTTCAAGTAAAACGTGTTTTATTGCTCAACGTCTTCCAATATGGCTTTCATGCATAAATCTCACAATTGCCAGATGCATTTGGTGGGAATCCTGACGGGAGCTTGGATTTCCTTCACAGTAGAAAAGCATAGAAGTACCCAAGCTAGCACAATTGTGACCGTGCCAGAAGGAGAAAGAAGAAATTAACCTTGAGTTACACACTACTACAGCAAGGCTGCTTACAGTGCTGTGGTCAGAAACGTAACCATATCTGGAGTCATCCTTTCCTTTTATGGCTGTTCTCTGTCACCAAGTGTCTCGTATTCTTTGGCACATAGTGGCTCACTTCCGGTAAGAAGGAAGGAACATGGTTCCACTTCTGTTCTGTGACCCGCCGGTTAAAACATACCACTGGTAAGTGGGAACTTGTTATGCAAAATCTCTTTGACTAAGGTGACCTTAAACCTAGTCTTCAATTTCCTAGTGAATATTTTATACCTCCTGCCATTAAGCAAAATGCAAATGTTGCTGCCAATACCATTACCCCTATGGCAACATTAAACTAGCATCCCGATAGTCTCAGTCGTTGTTTGAACTTGAGCACCTAGTCCCTCAGCATGTGAACAGATACCTCTGAATAGGTGCAAAGGGAGCTTTATGGCCTTTATGGATAGAGGTGCTGATTGGGTTTAGACTCCCAAAGATTTAAGGAGTACTTGACATAACATATTCTGTGACTCATTCAAGAACTTAGCAGTCCACATCTGGCCTGCCATCTTAACTACTGTCTAAAGGCGTGTTCTGGTAGAAAGCGTTTAATGAGACTGTTTCAGGATGAGAGCATGTGATATAATAACGACACAAGTACTATTCAATAGCTTCCCAGTTACACTGCTGCAGCAAATTAATAATAGCAAATTCTTACACCTTAACATTCCAGAAATTATATAGCTAATGTTAGCATTGTCATGAAGCATAATGAACTTCTGCAAGGCATGCCTCATGTGGAAAGTGAAAAAAATTATGTCATTTCTAATGAAATATATACCTTCTTATGCAAGCCAGTGATCCTTATGTAGCTCAGAAGATAGTTTTCTGCAGAGATTTTTTTGGGTGGCTTTTTTGTGATTTAGGAAAGTATTGTCTGAGTGAAGAGTTTTTCTGTTTCTACTTACAGTAAATGTGCAACCTTAAAATATAAGCGTATACAAATCTTTGTGAAAATATCTTGTAGTAAACCAAGTATGTTAAGAGAACAGAAGAATTGAGAATTTCCATCTGTTCAGGACATTATTTCAAGTTGCTCATTAGAAAGCATCCATGTTTAAAAAAAATTATCCAAAATTGCTGAACAGAGTTAAAAACTTTGTTCTCTGGCTTCACAGAAAGACTTTTGATTAAGTTTTCTAACCAAGTTTACTTGTAGCTAGGAAGGGAAGGAGTATTTTGACTTTTCATTTCTTCAGTACATAGGTCTGTAAGATAAGTGTCAGAGTAAATCAAAACAAGTTTAATTTTGCAGGTGTAAAATTGTTTTTTAATCTGTAATGGAAACATTGCTAGGTATGTTAGTGCAATGCTAAGTAACTTTTTTTTTTCCCCTTTGGTTATCAAAAAAAGGGTATTCTTTTCATAAATCACATTGTCATGACTGTTTTGAAACGGGTTGGAATTAGAGAAGGAACCTACTGTAAGGATGAAGAGCAGCACTCTGGCTTTCCTAAAGTAGTTCAAGTTCTTTGTTTTGCTTTATTTTAAGCTGATAATAGTTTTGTGTTGATGGGTTTGTTTTCATTTGTTTATGCAGTCATATTTGTCAGATGGTTTAATCTCAGTGTAATAAAGAACAGTGTAATAATATACTCTCACCTGTATTTATCCAGCTCGTTTTCACACATCATATTTAGCTCACCTGAATACGACAGGTGATGTTGTATGGCTATGGCTATGTTTCAGGAGCAGAGTCTGTATCTTTAATATTTAGGTAGTCTTTCAGAGCAAGGTCAAAACAGGTAGAAAGGATAAAGTCAGGTCATGTTCATTGCTGTGCACTGTGTGGAAGGTTGCATTAATTCTGATATCTTTATTTTATTTTCAGGGCCCTAACTCAGTCATGATCGCCCTGGTAATGCTGTTGAATATTGGTTTAGCCATTCTTTTTGTCCATTTTCTAACTTGATTGGAATTAGGAAAGGTAAGAAAGGTCTTGTTTTCATATAAAATCACCATATCCACCCCACCTCAAATGATAAAGATTTAATTTCTTTGCACACTTTTTATGTTCCCTACTTTAATTTTAGCTATGCCTGAATGTGATTCAACATAGTTATTTAATAATGTAACTGTTTTGACCCTTCAGTGAAGTCATGACAACTAGTGGTGTTAGCCCACAGTTCTCTGCAGTTGTGTCATCAGCCTTTTAAATGGCACCTGTCATACTCAGACACAGGGAAGGAGGCTTGGAATTAGGATGGGACGCAAGAGAGATGAAACTTGGAAAATTCAGCCAGGGGCCCAGATCAGTTTCTCTGCTGATGGCTCGTGGCTTTGGGGTCTTCTGAAAGCTGAAGCAAGCAGCCATGTTGGAAAACAAACAAAATAATCTGCTGAAGCAGCCCCGCCAGTGAAGTGCGTTGGCTTCTCCATCTGTTCCAGCAGAGTGTGACTAAACTGGAAAAGTACGGAGCTGCACTTTTTGTTGATGGAAGCTAACAGCTGCCTTACTATTTTACCGTCTGATGTTTTTAGTGGGGAGATGGGAAAACGACTGCCAGAGGAATGTGGTCAGAGGATTCTGTTGCTGTGGAAGTGATTCCAGCGTTCACTCCTATCTCATTAGAAGAAATAGTTAGCAGCATCAGTCACCAGTCTTATTCCATTACCTGCTGCTTTTAACATCTCCTGCAGTGTTCTGGGAGATCGAATTTCATTTGCCTATGCATGATTCTGTTCATTCGTTGTTTATGAAATTTGATGTATAGCCGTAACATAGTGTCTAATCCAACCCGGAGAAAGCTACCAGTTCTGCCTAGCAGCAGAAGCAGAAAATGAAATATCTTTTTCTAATCCGGAGACAAAATTCTTCAATTCATTTTCCTAAACCTGAAGAGCTGTTTTGCTTTAAGGTTTAGTAAGTAATACACCATGACTGCAAAATTTTAAGGTGTTGATATCTTCCTAAAAGTGCTCAAATGCTTATGCCAATAGCAAGCGAAACTTTTCATAATAAAAGAATAAGAATCTTAAGTTGATATCAGCACCTTCTAAACAGGAGGTGGAATATCGGAATAAGCCAAGAAAGACGAGATACAGGGTTTGCATGTTGACTTTTTTTTTCTTCTTTTTTTTTTTTTTTTAATTCTGGTGCTGTGGTAATTGATTTGAATTATTATGTTTCAACACTGAGGTATTTTGCCAGCGGTTAAAATAAAGTCTGGTCTGAGTGCACATTGATGCCAATGACAGTTAAGCTAGCTAATGCTCATAATAAATTATCATAATTTTAAAATACTAGATTTGTGTTGAATACATTCAGGTAGAGCGTTTAGAAATGTTAAGTGATTGTTTATCGATTTGATGCCTTCAGTGTCTTTAAAATCCATTTATAATTTTACCTCAGCATTAAAAACGCCTCAAAATTTTTCATTTGGAAAGTTTGTCTTAAGTAGTTTCACAGCCCTTTGTTCAAATGATGTGATCATGTTTCTTTTTATGTGCCATTATACTGTAATTATTGTACCCTATATTAATCAAAAGCATGCTTATTGACTGAAAATATGTGGTGTGATCATTTGGCAAGTAAATATTTTCATTTAAAGCTACAAAAAGCAAAGGGCTTGTATTATGGTTTATTTTATCTCTATTAGAAAATCTTTCATGCAATATAGTTTTTGAACCTGTTTGTAAACTTTCTAAGTGTTTGCATGGTTGTTGACTTTTTTCTTCTTTTTTTTTTTTTTTTAATTCTGCTGTGGTAATTGGTTTGAATTATTATGTTGTTTGATTGACCTCAGTCCCATTACATCGATGCAATCAGAAGCCACAGCCTAGAAGAGTCGTTTCCACTTTCCTGGGTTTTGTGGTAGGACTTAAGAGTGGTTCAAATGAACGTGACTGTAGGAGTCCAAATACATGTTCTGGTGGGCTGGGCAAGGGGCTGGGAAAGGCATTTTCTGCCAAAGTTCATTCATTCTTTCTCCTCATACTGCATCTAAGTGCTTTTTTAATTACACTAATGTTTTTGTCTCATGACATTGCCTCACAGGTCACCTCACTCTCCAATTACTGCTTGTGTAAGGAAGTGCTTCTTGACACTGCCCTCAATTTCTTTTTACTTTATTTCCATTTGTGCTTATCTGCGATGGAATGAAAGTATGAACCATGGCTGAAATTAGCCATTAGGATTTTTACATACTTCAATTAGTATTCTTTTAAGAAAACCCATTTCTCTCTCTCTCTTTTTTTTTTTTTTTTAATTCTGGTGCTGTGGTAATTGATTTGAATTATTATGTTTCAACACTGAGGTATTTTGCCAGCGGTTAAAATAAAGTCTGGTCTGAGTGCACATTGATGCCAATGACAGTTAAGCTAGCTAATGCTCATAATAAATTATCATAATTTTAAAATACTAGATTTGTGTTGAATACATTCAGGTAGAGCGTTTAGAAATGTTAAGTGATTGTTTATCGATTTGATGCCTTCAGTGTCTTTAAAATCCATTTATAATTTTACCTCAGCATTAAAAACGCCTCAAAATTTTTCATTTGGAAAGTTTGTCTTAAGTAGTTTCACAGCCCTTTGTTCAAATGATGTGATCATGTTTCTTTTTATGTGCCATTATACTGTAATTATTGTACCCTATATTAATCAAAAGCATGCTTATTGACTGAAAATATGTGGTGTGATCATTTGGCAAGTAAATATTTTCATTTAAAGCTACAAAAAGCAAAGGGCTTGTATTATGGTTTATTTTATCTCTATTAGAAAATCTTTCATGCAATATAGTTTTTGAACCTGTTTGTAAACTTTCTAAGTGTTTGCATGGTTTAATGGGCGACATTCTTACAAAGTACCTTAGCTATCTTTTGATGCAGCATATTGAAGTAACGTAGGTGTGGACTGAATATTGTGCAGCAAAGCAGCTCCGAGCAGGGCAGTAACACCATGGTGTTTTTTACAGAAGTATGTTGAGAATCCTGTGTTTTGACCAGTGTGGATAAAGAAGAAAGCAGAAAGAGAGCAAATGAAAATAAAACTTGTATATTTATTTTTTAAAAAAGTTTAAATTGTGTTTTAAATTTAGGAAAGTAATTTTTAAATAAGAACGAAATTTTAGAAGTTACTGTGTAAGCCTTGACATAATGGACGAAATGTTCCATCCAACAGTGAAATCACCCCCGTCTCCTTACATGGAGAGGTAATTTTGTAACTGACGTATTTAATTCCTATTAAATGTTTATTTAAAATACTTTATGCTCTGGAAATAATGGGTAACAAAGCTTATGAAAATGTTTATAAATTTAAGTAAGCATGTTAGTACCATTTATAAATATGTATGATTTATAAGCTTTTTTAAAACAAAGCGCAAACAAATTGTTGGTATTTTTCTAAAATGTGCACAGCTGTATTTTACATGAAAGGCTATTTATAATTGGTTGTTATACTGTACACTACATTTTGGACAGCACAATGAAGCCTGCCAATGTACTTAATAATGTCATTTTGTCTATTTAAAGTTTCTTGCTGTCAAAGAACAAACTCTTTATCTATGAGTTTCTCTATTTATAATTCTTGACCCAAAATGTACAACGTACAGTTTTCACAACTGTATTTGCTCTAATAAAAATAAGTTGGTTATTAATAGAGTTTCAGACTAGTTTTTCCTGTTTATGAATTACTTTGTTCACTCTCTGGAAACAGTTTTCCTAACAAATTCAGTAAATGAAGAGCGAAGCAGGAAAATGGGTGAAGTCCTGGCCCCTTTGAAATCATTGCGAGTTACTGTTTTTAAAAAAATTATTCTGGGAAACAATTCAAAATTTAAAAAGAGGCAAGTTTCCTTATGTGTCTTCTTTTATCTGCTGATGCAGGATTTTTGTATCTTTATAAATTTAGTATCTTAAATTATACTCCCACTACAGGGATGGTTTGATCAATCTTGTTTTAATCACTGAGTGACTGGCCCATTAACAGCTGTTCCTGTAAGTGAATCAACAACTTTTTTAGACTTCCCTCCTTCTCAAGGTCTTCACAGTTACAAAATTAACATGAAGTTTGCGAGCCAATATTCTACACAGAGAAAATTCACCATTTAGTATCTTAAATTATACTCCCACTACAGGGATGGTTTGATCAATCTTGTTTTAATCACTGAGTGACTGGCCCATTAACAGCTGTTCCTGTAAGTGAATCAACAACTTTTTTAGACTTCCCTCCTTCTCAAGGTCTTCACAGTTACAAAATTAACATGAAGTTTGCGAGCCAATATTCTACACAGAGAAAATTCACCATTACAACTGTCTTAAAGCCACCACATTTGCTGAACAAGTAAATCAGCTGAGAATTTTGTTTTCTGTGATTCCGGTTCAGATTACTAGCCAACTGTACTGAAATCCTAATGTTTAGTTGAAAAGGAGAGCAAGTGTTCTTAGTAGCTCCTATTTAATGGAAACATATTTTTAGGAAGTAATTGTTACTGTCTTACTCTTTAAAATAATTCTACCTCCGTGAAGCTTAACTTTAAGAATTTGTGTTTTCTACACAATAACCCACTCCCTAAAGAAAATTTTTGGCTCTTCAAGTAGAGAAAAATACATTCTCAAGAAAAATAAACAGAAATAACTGTAATGCCAGAAAATTTTAAAGTCAAGTTCACTGAGACAGCTCTTCTCTGACATTTTGTGATCCACGTTGTGTAACATGTTCAATAATGAAAGTAAATTTGACGTATTTCTTAAGTTCTACGAATGTGATAGTATACTCGGGCATATATAAACCTTAATAGCAACAAGCAAAGGATTTGCTGAGAAATAGAAGAAAAAAAAGTTTTCATAATCAGCTGAGAAATATGACAGCTTTCCCTGTCCATCAGTGTTCATAATTCTCAAAAATCAACATGTATGTAGAAATACAACATTTTTTCTATGGTGTCTGAAAGCAGATGGACATTTCTCCTCTGAGATATTTTTACCAGTGGTTTATATCAGTTGTAAACTTACAAATGGGTTTACGTGGGTATGCATCTGCTATGCCCAAGGGGAAAAAAAAACCAACGTGGACACAAAATGCAACTTAATGCTCCAAGATTTGCTCTAGCACGGGAAATTCTACCCCACTTCAGTGCAAGGAAATTTTTTCCCAGGCAAAGTAGTTTCTCCTGGCACGGTTGTGTGTTTGCCCACAGATGCCAGTAGGCAGTGAGCTCTCACCTTTGAATTTGAGGTCTGGTTTCTTGGGCAACTCCATTTATCTGATTAAACAATATATATGGCGTACACAGAAAAACAGCAAATGAATAATGTTGAGGTGCCAAAGGCTGAAGAAAAAAAAATCATGTTATCATTGCTTTTTAGTGTATCTAGTCCTTTCTTTACGTAGTATGTATATAGTCCTTACTTTACCTTCCCATCAGAAAAGCAGTAAGGAGCACAAAGAGTGTAGAATCTTTTCCATTTGCATTCCAAAAGCAGGGATTCAGCTTGAAAGCAGAAATTTCATGACGTATGACTACAACTCGCCTTTCAGATACAGACGTATGTTAAAAAAATCGTTAATACAACTGAGTGCTGACTTTAAAAGGAGTAAACGCCTCTTTACGAGCATTTGATTAAAAGTCTTGAAATAGTCATTTACTTAACTTTTAATGACACATTACATATCTATTAAAAGCTCTATTAAGATACAGTTACACAATACTAAAAGATTCTGACAATAATGTGGATGCAACGATAAAAACGTGCAGAAATTCACTACATATTGAGCTACAGTAACATTCTTACTTAGTTGTTATTAATAAAACACGGTTGTGAATTATATCTAAATGGTTTTACTCGTAGCTCATTTGAACCGTTTAGTCAGGGGAGACAGTTCTACCTACCGTTCTCCTATGGAAATGTAATTCAGTTAACAAAGCAGATGAAGAGACAGGAAATGAAATAAGCCTTTCAAATGAAGTAGTCTTCTCATTCTCTCATTTAATATTCACAGAAACGGGAGAAAATAGAAATTATGTTAAGTCTGAGCAAGAAGCTGTGTATGGCAACATGCTGTAGCTGAGCCATCTACAGTATCCATCTCATGTTTTTTTTCTACTGGACGCAGAAACTGCAAAATGAGAGACATTACACCTCCTACCACTGTAGGAGGTAAATATAATTTCCATACACAACATCTTTAAGAAAAACTGTCTATAATGTCAATGGCTTTTAGACTAGGGGGAAAAAGCAAAACCTTCATCTATCTAAACAGTTACGTTGTGACCATCGCTGTAACAGCTGAACAAATCCCTCCCCCCATAAAACCAATAGCAAAAATGAAGCTGGTAACAGAATTTGTTAAAATCTCTCATGTTTCTTCCTTTTGT